AGGTTAATCTCAGGAAGCACTGCTTGCAAACTCCTTGCCTCGACAGGATACGGATTTGGTGATGATGAGTGGGTTCTTGCATTGACTACAGGTAACCTTGGAACATTTCACTGGACTGATCACTACTACTGAATCCCGTCCTTTTTCAATTTTTCAAGTGTTTTAAAAATTAGTGAGTCTTATTATAAATTGATAGCTTATTTTAAGCCTTTTGGAGGTCTGACATGGCACTTTCAGTGCTAGATATACGCTTCGGCTTCTTCGCAAGCTTCGTCGGAATCACGTGTCTTTCGGTTCGACTGTTTTCCTATATCTAAGGGTAGCGGCGACAAACATGTTTTACTGCAGTCGTTTCCCTAAAATATGTTCAGTGTAGCATGTCCTACGCCGCCACACTCAGTCGTCGGCATCGACTAAAATTCGAAAGGCACGTGCTACTGATGAGACTTACTAATGAGTCGAAAAGCACATCCAGCACTAGAAATGCCATATCAAATCTTAGAGAAGCATGAAGCATTCGATTAGATTATATTGAAATTTGAGCGAGGTCTGAATAACAGTTGAATAGAAGGAATTGCTGTATGCTTTCTAGCAATATTGTGTTTTAGATGTGCAACTCTCCGAAACAAATAATAACTCCAAATTTACTAATGATTGAAATTCTCAGGACGATAGATGGTTAGTTCGAAATATTGAGTTTCACAAGAAATTTGTTGGGGACAAATCTTGAAAACACACTACGAGACATCCACACTTCACTCTGTACATAGCTCCTTGCTATTCGTGAGAACAAAAGATTTCGGTGAAGTCTAAGAATCAGACTCTTATGTAGGTGTAACAAAAAAAGTTTGTTCCGTTTTGTGGGTGTAGATATCGCATCATACTGATTTCCCAATCAATGAATTTTTTCTTGAAATAACACGTCTATTCAACACGTTGAAGGATAACAGGAAAGAAAAAGTTCTGTTAGAAAAGATGAAGTGCTTGTTCATTTATGCAAATGCTGGGACAAAGTGGTGATAGTACTACTTCTGCCAGGCTTAGATGACCAATGCCACAGATTGAATAAGCAGTTCCTTGCTGCAGAATTTTTGTCGATTTAGCTCGCTCAAACGGATGTGTCGCAAAATATACGTAACTGGGACACTAGAAGATATTCATTTCGTTGAACTTCAATAAAGCACAGGGAAGCAATCCGTTTCCATTCGTCTTATTGTTAGGTACAGTCAAAGATCATTGTTTACATAATTGATATTGAAATTGGCTAACACTAGTTAGCTTTCATTTCGTGTTATAAGAACGATGATATGAGCAAAGCAAGAATTTATCTTCCACCAGCAACCACCTTTCGCTTGTTGCTCTATTTTTATGTTCGCACGACGCTCCGGAAAGTGACAACGGTAAATTTTGGTGATATAATACCGTCCTATCTATCAATCTTCCTACGCCGACATTACAGAGCTGATAATAACGTTGATGATGATATTTTAGTTGTGAATTTTGTTCTTTGCATCGGGGGAAATAGGACGGAGAGGTATTATGTGCTCTCTTCATCCTGCAGTGAGTCTGAATGTGGGTCACACCTTCAAACAGTAACTTAGCAGAAACAGGCGACAAATCTTTTGGTGTCTAGCAGTGTGTTGAAAGTGCATAAGGTCGCTCTTGGCCGGTATTTAATCCTTTATATGTCACGTGAATGTCCCTAAGTATTACTTCGTCATTAACCTTTAAGGAACGACAATGTACACGGTTGTTGGAAAGCCTTCACCGCTGCGAAAAAGTTCTCTTCGAGACATTTAATCATAATTCAAAAGCATAGATCTTTGCGATTTCAAAAATTTATTTAACTTCAGAAAAAAGCTTTTTATTACGTTGTAACAGCGATAATGAAATTACTTTCCACACTTAACTTTATTCATTTGCCCGACTGGGGCTGCTATATGGGTCTCCACTAAAGTTTAATAATGATTAGATAGCCCAAATCTGTTAATTCTGGTGATAAAATTGTTTTTTTTTTGAGAGGCTGCCATATAACGGCGTAGGAGCGAAAAGATGGTCACATTTCACGGCTAAAATGCTAGCCCGTCGCTCGGGCGTCATAGATGGTTTATTGGTAATTATAGGTGAAGTTCATAACTCAAAGGTTTCTTATCGATACGTGAAGAATGGAATATTACGAATGAACCTTCTACGAAATTTTATAATGCAGTGAGTGACTACTCCTTTTGAAACCCTTCATTTTTCGCCAGTAATATCACATCCTTGTACAGAAAAAAATTTTTTTTCAACCCCTTTCGAGCATTTGTATCGCCTGTCTTGCGAGAACGTAGCTTGAAAACACATTCTCTACAATTAAACAACTTTGATCGAGGTTTATGTGGAGATTTCTTAAATGTGTAGCTCAAGTGAGTGTAGGAAGAGTCTGCGTTCATTATTGCGCACGATGCGTTACTCCCCTAGCAGCACCCATACTCTCGCAAACATTATAGCAGTTATTCGATAGCTCAAATCTTAAGCAATTAAAACATGTACTACATTTTTGAAAGATCTTTGTGTTACACTGCAACAGGGAAAAAATATGTTATTTAACACTTTAGCATCTTTTAATGAACAACGCTTTTGCTCAAGAAATTCAGCAGCTCTTCGACAACACAAATCTTGGAAAATTTGACTGTATGTTAAGCGGTAACAAATTTTTAAGCCACTCTCATTCGCTGAACTGGCAAGTTTTATAAGAGTACTTGTAGCTATTAGAAAGCTTGATTTTCTCCTTTCAACTATACTTCGCTGGTTTCTTCGAAACATCCTTTTGAAGTTTCTGTCGATGCGGTGAAAAAGTCCTCCAATGAAATGACAATTGTTGCCGATGTTTTGATCCATAATGCGGTAGATCACTGTCGAGTCACGCGGTGGGTCAGGCGATTATCTCAGTAACAGTCGTTGCTGCGACTTCCCTTTAAATTCCACTTAGCTATGAATCTTCTCGGCAATATTGCTTACAGGCCTATTCACGGAGCGGAGGAACGGGCAAAGGAGGAGCACCGATCGCGTTTGAAATATTGTTATTTAATTTGGGATTTTCCACCACATCGATAGCACCTACAAATAAAAACGTAGATTTTGATTCTTCGAAAATTGCCTAAACGCTGATATGCTTTTCGCGCTTCCAGCATTTCATACGCACGGTAAAAAAAGGCGAAAGGCGAATGAGAAACGAACTTTTATTCTGTATGCTACTGTGACATAAAAGGGTTATCTGAAAAACCGCCAATGCATACTTGTAGCCAGAGGTTTAAGCTTGCTAATGTTTACTAACGCTTCTTAGAAAAAATCCTGACCAGCAAATGAGGTCGACTTAAAAATTTATCGCCGCCTAACGCATAGGTACTGGATACTTTTACTTCACCTTCAGAGCATTATATGGAAATCATTTGAGAAAATAAAATACACCTTTCAGATTTGTGATGTTCAAACTGTGGAAAATCACTAAGGCTTTGAAAAGAAAGAAAAAAAAATAGTTTACTTGAATATGGATGCGGATGGGAGGGAGGTGTCGAGAAAACTTCTCTGGAGACACATATTTCTGACCAGTAGCTTGCATAATGCCGACGTTCTAAGCCTTTTATTCAAAGACGTCTGCCCCTTACCGTTCAGTATTCTTTTACTATCCATAAGTACTGAACCTTTTCTCGCTTACTTCAAATCTGAATATATGCAAAAAACGAATGACTGTCATAAACTTGATTATAGTGAGAGTTATCGATGAACTGGTATCGAAACAACATTCATTATCATTCCTGTTGTAAATTACTCATTGATTTTATTTTTATTCACTATGATGGCTCTTGGGTGTTGTATAAAACTGTGATAGATCAAAATTAGAGTTTTTTATTGTGGTACCCTCGATACCCTCCATACAATACAATACAGCTGACTAATTGTCAAATTCAGCATAACTCCGTAATGAACCAACGTTTTCCTCTATACAGGGCAATATATCTAAACCGAAATCAAATGAGCAAAAAGAGAAAATTTTTCTTTTTTCTATTTCCAAAGTAAAAACGAGATTTTTGCAAAATTTTCTAGAAAGCGCAAACCATAGCCGTCCCTTGGGGTTACAGATGAGCAATGCTCGCAAACACACTTTGCCGCGTAGCGCAATGGGTAGCGCGTCTGCGTACAGAGCAAAAAATTGCCGATTCGAATCGTGCCGTGGTCACAACGTTTTGTTCATGCTGCGTTTTTGGGCAAAATGTAGTCTCCAAGCCATCTTCGGGATTTGTGCAGAGTATCAGTATGGTCTTCCTTTATACTCTTCTCAAAGACTACCATTCGGACTGAAGGCCATACAAACAGAAAGACCACCATACAATGCCACTGATACGTCTCTGCCAATGAAGCAGAAAATTGTGGATTCGAGTTTACCGAAACCTCCGTTAAAGTCGCATTTTCTGGCACCCATAATTTATTCTGAGTAATCTCCACAACTATCTTCCCTATGCAAGAAAAACGAAGTCTCACGCAAATCACCTAGTCCCAATCCGAAACGTGATATAGTTTATATTAATGCCATGACTATACAGCTCTGAGATGATTTAAATTAATCGTTTCCCCGAAATTCTTACTCCAGACGAAGACCAAGATCACGATGAGTGTAGGTTTTGCCGCGCAATTTCACCTATATCAATGTTACACCTTCATCCTCCAACTTATGTACATAGAATTAATTACATTTATTATTTCATTAAATGGATATTCGGACTTTTATTTCAGCCAGCTTTACAAACAGGCTGAACTCACCGATAAACGTTACACGTGCGTCACAGGTAGAGTGTGACGCAGATAACACAAATAATAAAATTGAATACAAGAACCATCCAGTTTCTTTCACAAAACACACAAGAGATAGTGCCATTTTCGCAGCACAAGATTCTTCTGAATTTACCCTGAAATGCTTGTATATCGGCTGAAATGAATTTGTTAGAACAGAAATGCGTCATTGTTTTTCTTCATAAAGTCAATTGTGCATATCGAAAATGTAATGACGGTAATTGGAAGTTTCGTCAAAGCTAAGGTATGTAGAAGGTTATGATGCTTGATCTTCCAAACAAAGACAACGTAGCACTCTCGTTAAGGAATTCATTGCTAAAGAGTAAGGACACGTGAGTGGAGGTGGAGTCATAATCACTGTTTCGTCCACTATAGCACTATTTTTTTCTTTAGGCAGTTCCTGAGGTGTTAATAATAGTATTGCTTCTTTCTGATCAAAGGAAACGTATGGAAAGTCGATCTCATTCGCTGGAGAAGACTTTTTCACAGGGGTGCTAGTAACCATTCGAAACTGAGACTTGAGGCTACAACGTGACGTCGCCGTTTTTTTTTTTTTTTTTTTGAAAGATCCATTATAATGCTCTAACATTCCAATATAATCAAGTATTATAAGATCACGAGTTTTTTCGTTTGTCTCGTCTATATTTCACTAAACAAAACTCTTTTTCAGAGCACCAATGCTCAAACTATAGCACTAGATCCAAAAAACTTAAAAATGTGTTTGATTTCTGAAAATGCCCCGTTGATCTCCTCTGGCTTTTTGATTTGTGCTTCAAGCCTCGCCGGGCATAGCTCTTTCTTTAGACTAATAGTAATCATCTGAAGCGTATATGTGATTTTGACGGTTGCTGGAATAGCTGATTTTCGATAACGTTGTTTACAGGCTATTCGACAAAGCGTGGACCATGGCAGGAGGCGTGGCAAGAAGCTAGGCGAGGCGAGACGTTTGACATTTTGTTGTTCAATTGGGAATTTTTCCTCCATTTTCAAAAAAACTCTAGATAAAACGATCGATTAAGGCGCTACAAAAATTTTTCTCCACATTGATATACTTTTTAACTTCCGACGAATTCTAAGCGCGAAAAAAAATGGGGCAAAAGGCGAGTGTGGAAACGCAATTTTTGATCTGGATGTTAACAACATTACATAAGGGTGTTTTAAGAAAGCGGTGACGTGGAGACGTAGTTTCAAGTCTCAGCTTTCGAATCGTTATTAACTCTCCCATGAAAAGTTTTCTCCAGCGAATGAGATCGGTTTTTCATTTGTTCCCTCCTAATCAGAAAAATTTACAGTATTTATTGAATTCAGTGATGCAATGCAATAATACAGTGTAGTATTGCAACACAAGCAATTCAATAATCGTACAACAGCTAATGGTTCGGCGAGCTCGCCTTCTCCAAAGTCTGGAAATGTCAAACTGATCCGCAATATACTTGATCAAAGGCCACCATAACCTCAACAGAAAACGAAAGAAACGAATTTTGAATTGCATAATGAAAAACTGCATTTTTGAAACACTCATTTCTTGAAGTTTTAGGTCTTTTAATTATTCATTGAAGACTATCCGCTAAGAGTCAGTGCATGAGTAAGGCTGTAAATGACTCAAGCCGGAATGATTAGCCTAAGGTATGGTGAGAGGTCACGCGTTATTGCCAGGCACTGTTCGTTAAGGCTCATTTCTGGGATTTCACTATAAATTCAGAAGGCTTTCAATATTTCACAAGCGGGTGTCTTTTAATCCTGTATAAGAACCGTGAACTTAACGTTGAAATTTGCTCCTGTATATTTTGTTACCTATGAGTGCCTGGCTAGTGGAGCTTTTGGGTCGAAGATGAAGATGTTTGTGGAGAATACTTACAATGAATTATCAGTGCTAAAAAATATGGCTTTAACGGAGATTCGATGTATTCGTATCCAAAAATTTCTGTTTCATTAGCAGGCACCCATCAATGGCATTGTATGGTCCTTCTCTTTGTACGGCCTTCAGTCAAAATTGCAGTATTTAAGAAGAATATAAAGAACGACTATGCTAATGTTCTGCACAATTTCCGAACATTGCTCGGAGATTACATTTGTACCAAAACGTCAAAAATAAATTATATAAATGAGATTATATTGTATACATTTGTGTATATTTGTATAATAAATAAAATTATATTTGTACCAAAACGTCTAAAATATTCAAAACGTCACGACCACGGCAGGATTCGAACCTGCAATCTTCTGCTCCGTAGGCAGACGCGTTACCCGTTGCGCCACGCGGCCACGTCGAGCCATTCGTTATAAACGCATTATTCACCTGTTAATAGCGAGGTCATACCTGTATACAGATATTTACGTGTGGGTCCACGGTTCCGAGAGGGTTAAGTTACTTTAGCCTTTAAATGCGGTTTGATCTTACCGCAGAATGCTACCGTGTGCTTTAGGTTAATAATGGTAAATCGTTATTCATTTAGGAACACTATGAACACGCAGTATCCCTGTGGCGTCGAAGTCAATAATGTCATAACAAAAATGCAAATGGCTCAGCTACTTCAGGTTACTATGATATCATCTGTAAATTTGATTCGGATTTCATCTACAGTTCACTTTTCTCACAATATTCTCATTTATGCTTAGGTTTTTCCCCTATTGTCGAATATCGTCGAAAATGAAACTCTCAGAGTCGATTTGTTGCGATTGACTGCTGGGCAAGTCATTGGGTATATACATAATAAGCAATGGTACTTTATTGTCTGCATTTTTTGCATCACAGAGCAGTTTGATTTGAATCTTTGACCCTATATCTTTTTCAGGTCATTGGAAAATGTCTAATTTTTATCATCTTCAATGGTTTTGATTCTGCTCCATCCAATGTTTTCGACACACCTCCTGCTACTAACAGAGCTGAGATATTTCTCAAACGTCACTCGATGTTTTTGGAACTACTTTTGAAGTGTGATTTCGAGTTCACACTGAACTACATTCCCTGTTTTTTTTTTCGATTTCAAAGTGAAGGTCTACATATACCAGTTATATTGTTCACCAGTGAATTTCATCGTTCCGTTTCATATTGTTGGCTACTGCCCGTGAAGATTTTTATCTGATCCCTAAAGTGATTTCAATGCTTCTTCTATTTTAGCTTCGGCAAGCTTTGATTTGTTTACAAGGAGTGCTTCAGCAAAGGAATAGTTCTAGTCCTCTTGCTTCTATGCTGATCGCGATCCTTCCATGCTTCTTCAAAGTGGCTAGGTTGGGAATAACTGGTGTTTTACACTTTTGTTTATCGATTTATACCTATTTCATTTTTACTTTGCATAAGCCATCATCACAAATTACTTTGCGGATCCTAGCATTTCCTGCATTCATTCCGTTTCCTTGCATTCATTCGCCTAATGATCTCCCAATGTTTCACATGTTACTTCGGGGTGTTGCTTGACAATTTTGTCTTCTTTATGATTGTCATAGAATGATGGTCAAGTCGACTCTCCTTGTGGTCTTAAAGGCAGCTCAACTGGATGCAACTCTGTAGCGACCGTTAAGTAATTGCAAGAGATTGTTGGAGGAAGGGATTGACCCACCTCAATGTTTATCACCTTGCTTCCTCATCTACAGCGTCGTTAATTACTGACCATTGATTCCATATATATGTATGTATGTACACAGTGTATGCATACGTACATATGCATATAGAGGGTACGGGAAAATGTTCTAACAATTTTTTCGGAGATTTCAACAGTCAAAAAAATAGTCCATAAACAAACATTCATTCAATCGAAGGAATAATTGCGTTCATTGGATTAACAATAATATCAGTATTCAGAGAAATAAATAAGTAAGTTTATCAGATTAACGTATGTCGCAATATACAAAAAAGCTTACGACAAATCCTCAAAATTGCCTTTTTGGCCTCTTTACACTTGCGAAGTCGCTTGCGAAATTTTCCAACGATGCTCATATACGTTTCTGACCATAATTTCGCCCCAAGCGCGTGTCAAAGCTGTCTAAGCGCATCTACAGTAGTGTGGCGAGTAGCCGAAACTTTTTCCTCTAGTATGGAGCACACAGTAATCCACTGGGTTGAGATCCGGCCAGTTTGACGATCGAATGTCCTCACCCACAAGTCTGGAAACAGTTTTTCCAGATGACAATCATTCACAAAACCGAAAGCGCGAGAGCGCGAACTGCTGAAGCATAAATCCGTTAGCGTCAAAGTGTTGAGTAGCCCATGGCTCCAGTACGCCCGTGATACTTGCTGTTGATAGATGGTCGCGTTGATTTTGACGATTCCGTTGATGAATACCAACGACGTTATTTCTGTGGAGCAAACACCGGCTCAGAGCATCGCAGAGGCCGGGAAATGACTGCGGCGCAAGGTTTTCGCTAATATCGACTTCTGCTGACCTTTCTTAGAAAGTTCACGTCGATTCTTGCAATTGTGAAGTGGTTTCACCGCGAATATATTCTCACCCGTGAAAAGCACCTTCGTCAAGAGAGTCCAGCTATCAAATAAGTCATTCGGAGAGCCTTTCGAAGCCGTTTTTATTCCATATTTTTGTCTAGAAAGTAAACACGTACTATCCTAAAAGTGCCCAGCTCCAGCTTTTTTGACAATGTTTCGGGCTTCCCAGTCGCTGATTCCGAGCTTCTTTGCCATTTTGTGTATCGAACGCTCCAGATTTTGTTAAAATTGGCTGCAGATCTGTTAAATGTTTATCAGGGTAGATGAGGAGGTTGGACGACTTTTAAGGAGGGTGTTCAATCTCTCCAGTCTCTTGTAAACTCTATAGACAATTATTGGTTTATAACCAGTTATTTTAACAATGTCGACCGTTTTCATTGCCTTCTTTTGCAACTCAACCACTGCGATACGTTCATTTTTACCATCAGTAACTCAAGCACAACTGAAAATAGGCAAATGGAGCACATTCTAGACCAAAATCCAAAAAAAAAAACTTCAAAAAAATTGTCAGAATCAATAGAAAACATTACATCAGTGCTAGAATTAACGCAATAGCACATTCTTTTCCCGCACTTTGTACACACATGCAACTATATATATATAGTATATATATATATATATATATATATATATATATATATATGTATAATGTATATACATGCGGATGTATATAGACAATATATGCATATATATACGTGCGTATATGTTTATATGTGTAGATTTGTGATATCTATGTATAGAATATATGTGCATGTGTATATATGCTATACATGTATAATACTACTCAATTCAGGTGTTTGATGGAACTACTATGAACATATGCTTCATCCGTTATTTCGCGATGTTATCAGTAAGATCCTCGATTCTGAGAGGCAGCAAATCTACTGTACGTTATCTAGCTTTTCATATTAGTCCTAAAATGCTGTTCGTGCTTCCAGCGATTTATACTCGTGGTGAAATAAAAGTTCATAGGCGAGTGAGAAACAAAGTTCGATGCTACAACGTTAGAAAAGGGTATTTTGAAAAGCCGGCAACATAGAGTTGTAGCCAGAAATTTTGATCTAATGATTACTAACACTCCTATGAAAATTTCCTCTCCATCGAATAAGATTGGCTTAAAAATTTGTCGCCCATCTAACATATAAATACCTAGAATTGTTCTAACATCTATAACAACGGCATAGTTGTGTTGCACTTTTCCAACATTTTCTTCGGTTCATTTATCTTATATATGTTACATCAGGCCGTGTAAACAATACAGTACAGTGCGCCATTACTATGGAAAAGAGTCTGATTGTGAGTTTCCCCGTGAATAATATTAGATCGTTTCATAGGTTTTGACAATTAGAGCAATAAACAGATTCTTTAGTCAGAAGTAAGAGAATTTGTGACGAGCAAAAATGCGACTTCAGGCGGGAGTCGAACCCGTGTGCAATCTATAACGGGAAGTGTGCTGCCACTACTCTAACGAGATAGCACGCCTCCCAGGTATGGATGAAACAAGGGTTCAACTCCCGTCTGAGGTCGTGTTTTTGCTTACCACTTAAATCTCTAAGGTATGTAAGTAACATCATAACACTGTGAAAAGTTCAGTAAGACACTAGAAATGCGATTCATAAGTATTTTGAATTGCGTAATTTTAGTATCGTTCAATTGTGCATTTTCCTGTGAATATTCTGGTCTATATCTTACCTACACTTGCTCTGAAATGTAGCTGTCGTGAGCAAATTTGCTTGCTAGTCATGCACGAATGGCGCTTTGGGGAAAATTCTAGTAAAGCGGCGCACAAGATTAATGGAGCTTTCTGTGAACAGCCTCAGCGCGACTGAATCTTTAGGCTGTTATCTTGAGCTTTAAACTTCGTGAACCACTTCGCTGCCGTTCTTTCTGCAATCGTTTCATCACTCCATTCTCCATTAATCTTGCGCGCCGCTTCACTAGCATTTTTCCCTGCGCGTCATTCGTGCATGAGTAGCAAACGGATTTGAGCCCAAGACTTTTTAGCACTTTATTGATCCGTATTCAGTGTGTTTTTTTGTTCACTGTGAGAATCCTACTTCTCCCTAGCAACTCAATTCGTTGTTTCGTCTTTTTCTTTAACGTCGTAGAATACTGGTTGAACACGTCTCCTTGTAAGCTCTTGGAGATCTTGCCTGCAGCGTTCCATAGGGCGTTTGTTGTTGATTGCCGGATAGTGTTGGTGTGTTGTTTAGCCCCTCCTGCGCCGCTCCGGGCATCACAACCAATCGGCGATGATGTCCCCAAGACAGTTCCACACTGTAGCAAAAATAAGCAGATTGTTTACCAAAATGTTCACATGAAAACGTGCAATTAAGCGATATCAAAATCGTGCAGTTTTGGTTTTTTTTCTGCTCAATAACTTTGCTGTTTACTGCTCTACGGCCAAAACAAGGTGAATCTCCTAGATGAAGCCGACTCATACGTACGTTCTATCAAACGATTCCATGAGGAGATGTCATCTGAACTGTCAGCCATAGTTGTAGCATATAATATGAGAATCTGATAAAATGTCTTCCTAGTGCATAGTTTTCAAATCACGTATTTTGAAAAAATCAAAGCTTCTTGCTTTTTTTGAATTGTGCAGAGCTACCAATATCTTAACATTAAAGAACAATTGTCCAAGATAAGTCATTTTTGCCTGAAAAATTGTATGATTGTATTGAGTTGTCTCATAAACTTTTTTTCGCATTATTGTTTTATTCAGTTTTTCTATTTCAAAGACGATTATTGTCTAAGTGCTGTGGTGTGTTGGAGAATGTTTAAGTACTCTAGTCAAGGAATAGAATACTAGGATATTAGTAAC